TGTGATCAAACTGAGGCCCTGAAAACACTGAGTAAGTGAAAATACCAATAAACAGCAACTATATAAGACAACCCAAAGAGATGAGAACATATCACTAAATGTTCAAGAAAATATAAATCCTTTAAGATTCTCTTAAGCTTTTTCTTCAATGAACCATTTGCAGTATTTATCAACTAGCAGTTACAAACATAAGCAGACAACACTCCACTTCCCATGCCTCATGGCACCAAATTCCCTATTATTTAATCGTGAGTTCCATGATCACAGACCTCTAAAGATGAAACAACAGATTTATCCTTCTGAAATTTAGCAGGTTTCCTAAACGTTGTTCACTATGGGAACACACTGTCAGTGCATTAGCTCAGCTTGATAAAGCACAATAGCTATTAAAAAAGAAAGCAAGCTTAACAAATGCAGCCTATCTCTCACTACCACACTTGAATGACTGCTCCCCTATGCTTTCTGTTAGAAAGATTCAAAGAAAATGCCAGTAACCTTACAGCTGGTGACTCTAATACCAGAGGGTAGCAAGACAGAAATAATGAATGCCTCCTTGTTAAGCAGTTTTGTTTGTGCTGTTCCAAGAAAGATCTGCCAAGAACTTGCCATGCAAACCTTATTTTTCTGGGATTTGTAACTTGGCTGTAAAAAAAAAATCCAGCATAATAATGTCTGGTTCAGAAGAATTCAGATTTCAGGTTTTAAAATATACTTCTAAATTTCAGAATAAATTCAGTCTACACTAAATAAGATAAGCAATTTAGCATTTCATAGATTTTTAGTTGTTACCTTGAAAAAATTATCATCAGCTATTTGCACTCTAGTTCATTATACATTTTCTAACCTTTTGGGTATTAAATTCTAACCTTTTGGATATTTAGTAAGTCCAAAGAATTCTGATATCAATGGCAAATTTTGTGCTCTATGCTCACGTCTCTACTGAGATGTATTTCCCTTCTAGGAAAAGCTGTATGAAATCCATATGAAGGACTTGGGGATTCTACCTGCTAAACAACCCAGTGGATTAAATCTGTGCTAATTCTTAAGACAAAGCAGCTGACTTGGCTGTAAGGATAGGTTGGGAAAAAACTGGCAAAATAACAGCAGTCTTATAAAACGCCAACTTAGAAAGTTCACATGAAAATGGTCTGGCTTGGTTTTGTTTAAACCAAATGATTAACAATTTTGAGCCATGCAAACATCCATTTCCAGTTTTCCAGCTTCCTTTTTTTTTTTTGGCACAGGATCCATTAGAACAAGGTCATTCTGTAGAGTTTCTTGCCAAAGCAATATTGTTTCACGTTGCAACTAGTAAGATACGCACAAATTAGACTGTTACATGTAGCATCATGTAACAATGAGACAAAAGCTCCAGCTAAGGAAAACTCTCTTCCAGGAAAAGGCCACTCATAAAGAAGCCAGAAGGCTACAATTACCTGAGCACTGAGAAGAGCTGTGGAAAGCTGGTGGCTTAGGCTTGTGCCTAAGAGGAAGAAACCTCCCAACAATTCAAAACTAAGAGACAACAGAAATATACCAATCAATTATAAATGAACTTGGCTGTTCAAATGAATCTATCTGACAGGATCATTGCCAGGGACATTCTTGAAGAAACAGCCAGAAAATACCACGACACAGAGGAACAAAGAAATAATTCTGTTCATTTTCTTGACTAATTTGTTTTTTTCCCCCTCAGTGGACTTTGCCTGCAGCACACTAGTCCCCAGAACACCTTTACCTACCTTACAGTTTTGTGCAAATTAAATCTAAGTAGACATATGAAATAACAGCTCCTCTGAGATTATTTGCAATTCAGCCAAACATGTTAGATATATAAGGGGATAATTGCTAGACATGTTGCATCATTCTTGAGGACTCTGTGAAATGAAGTAAAGCCATGGCTCTCATTCTCATTCTGTTCTGCTTCAGAGTACACTACAGCTGCAGAGGAACAGCTCTCCCTGACATTACTGATTTAAATACTTGAAAATAGAGCATTACTGCACTATTCAACCTGAACAAGGAAAAAGTGTGGCTAGACAGACAAGAGACGAGTAAGAACAAAGAGAGCCTACCAGATCAGTGGGACTCAGAGCAAAAACAAAAGGCTTCTCTATTACCAACCCTGTCTGTTCTGCAAGAAGCCACAAACACAGTCAGTGGTTATAAGAGGGAGTTGGCCCTGGGAAGCATGTATGTCTTCAGTGATTAAAGAGACAGCAGAAGTGCATCTCCATGCAGATGGCTCTTAATCGTCTGTTGATACACAGGAAACCTGCTCTCTAGCAGCAGCGAGGCTATTTCTGCAGGACTCTTAAGTAATGAAATCAGAGCAATGTAATAATATGAAAGCCTTATTTGCTACTGCTTGCCTACCATTACAGTATCTAAAACACTGTAATCTTGACTCTGAAGTGAGGTCATTCATCACTTTGTTCTACATTTCCACTGATCCCTAACTAGAACCCAATACAACAACATGTTTACAATTCTTATTTTTGATCTCTTTGTTCTTAGGTGTCCCATCTCCAGTTCATCTCTTCCCTCAGAGAAGTCAAATAATACTCCTAATTATTCTTGCACAGTACTGCATACTGCAGTACTTGGAGGTAAAAGGACGATGTTGCAGTTTGCCCTATGCCTTGGATACACTTTCTTATTGAGCTGGTTTTTGTTTCCCTCATTCTTTTTTTCTGGTGACTACGAGTTGCTGCTCTTCCTAAAAGAGAACACTGCAAGCCAGGTCAGAGACTCAAGTGCCCAATTCCAGTATTATGAATAGTGAACTACTCACTCAATTGAACAAGCTGGATCCGCATCAACACAGGAGTTTATTGCAATATCTGTTTTGTTATCTTACATTCTCCAATCAGGCAATTGCTTCCTTTCAGTTAAACACAGGAGGAAAGCAGAAAAGAGCTTGCCACAGACAAGAGTTGCCAAAGGAAAACCAATAGGTTTCAACTCCCCTTTCTAGTCCTTATTTCCAGGGATTACTTCTGTTGCATCATATAACAATTCCCTTGATTCAGTGTAATGCCTACAGGCACACTCTCACCCAGGCTGCTGCTTCATTCATTTAGTAAATTATCACCTTTAAGGACTGCACTGTGTCTGCTAAGACAAAGCCTGGGTGAGGGATTATGAAGATCTGTGCAGAAGTAAGCGTCCCACATGTTCTTTGTCTGGCTCAGATGTCTCCCAGAGCAGTTATCATCACAAGGGCTCAAATCTTCTTTAGAAAGCAAGTTTCAGCCTGCTTGCCCCCTTCCTTCATCTTCATTCAACTATACTGGCTAACAAGAAGAGAAAGCTCTGTTTCTGACACCCTTGATTCTGACTGTCACTCCCATTCTTTGTGCTGACAAGTGAAACGACCACTGCCCCCTACCTGGGTGAGAAGGCTGAGAAAATGCCCTATGCTTCAACTCACAACATGTGGCAACAAGGTAACCCAGCCACTTGTGATTTAAGGGCAGCTGAGGAGGAACCAGTTCATACACAGCAGGGCAGACCAGCTGATGACAGACCAAAAAAAGTTATAGAACTTTTCTATCTAAAAAGTTATCTAAAGATAGTGGACAAAAATTACTACATGGTAATATTTGCATAATATAGGGCAACAGTCACACACAGATTTAAAAAAGATGTCAAGTAGAGAAGCATAATTGATACTAATAGAAGGGACAAAGAGCTCTGCAATTCTTAAATGAGGAAAATCCTATTAGAACCAGCATATGCTTCAGCAGGAGAAGGCCTAGATTAGTGACTGCAATAACTGACTAGGATATAGGATTAGATGTGCAGCACAAATTTGTAATTCTAGCCATTTCCAATAAAATTCAATAGGTGCCATAGGAAGGATGAGGTCAAAACCTCCTTAAAAATATGATTATTCAGATAAATAAATAATTTACGAAACACTTCACAGTAGATGCTGCCACAAAAATCACAGACCAAAAGCAATATGGGAATCATGTGACTGGATGCGCTTTAAGATGCCAGGGGCTGCACACTGCTGGGTGGGTACAAGGGAAACAACAGAAGGAAAAGCAGAAATAATACAGAAGTCTTAAGAAAACAGCAAAGCAACAGCAAACTACTACTGACAGTACTTAAAAAAAAATCTAACCGTACACAGCAGTGTGAAAGACATGACAAAGCAACTCTTTTGTACTGAATTCAAGAAAACATGACTTTTATGTGCCTGCTTGAAAAGTGAATAGCTACTATAAAAGTACCTACTCACGCCACTATCAATTTCCCAACCTGCTGGAAACAAAGTGAAGGACATTAGGTACCAGAAAAGCAGTCAAGTTGGAGTATGACAAATGAGGACATCAGCATCCAGAACTGTTGATTGGCAGATGAAGCGATTACATGAAGCCTAACCATAGCAGCAAAGAATAAACAAGTGACAACAGAACAACCAGAGAGATGAATACTTTTTTTTGCAGTTAATGTCTCTCTTGAGATGCTCTAGAAGAAAGAAATCATCCAAGTTATTTCTTCAAAAACACATTTTTGGCAAGGCACCCTTGATCCAGAAAAACAATTATAAACACAATTAAATTCACTCATATCTTTAGTGGCAGAGATTTAAAATGGAACTACACAGACGGTTATCCTTAAAAATCTTTGTTGCCAAGTTTTTATTACTAATATACATACATTTCATTTGAGTCAACTATTAAAATAATTGTTGTTCTTACCATGTTTCTAATATATATTGAAATAGGGGTGTCTTTAAATCTAGTTGTTCTACATGAGGCTTAGATATCCTATTTGTTTTGAGATATTAAAAATATTTTCAAACTAACTGTAAGGTACACATCTTTAAAGCTGCTTTGAAAAAATGAATGAATTAAGTGATGGCAGAAGAGAATTAAATGCAGCAGAATTCTAGGTACTCAGATTAAGATTATTTCATTATGTATACATCATCAAAATCTCCAATAACATCAAGGGTTAGTAAGTGTAGATGCAGGGATACAACACACCTCTTTCTGAAGCACACTTCCCATGGCTACTTTAGAAACAGGGTGCCAGCTATTTGTACCTGTGTCCCTGTGTCCTGAAGTAATCATCGTAGTTCCTCAATAACACAATTTCTCTACAAGTTAAGGGAAGCTGAGAAACTGCCAAAAAATAAAAATAAAAAAAATTAGATGACAATGTCTGAAGAAAACAGAGAATTTAAAAGCTCTATTAGGAAGTTCCTATGCTATTTGCTTTACTTTTTTTTCTGCACCGCCTTTACTACAATCCCTTCTAAAAAGTAACTCTGATGCATTCAAAGGGCACAAGAATTTTCCTGTCCTAAGGGAGCATTCTCTCCTTCTGACTGCTGGTCTCATTCAGACATACATGGGCTTCACTGGAAACTGAAAGCAGAGCCAAAAGATGGAAAACTGAAGCCTATTCATGTTCAACCAATAAACAAGAGCATGCCTCCAACAAATGACCTCTTACGAGCTTTCATATGCCTCTGCAGATATAGAAGCAGAGTGGAAAAAAAGAAAACCTACAAAATGGCCAGCCGCTTCAATGGAATATAACACAGCAGGAAAAACTGCACAGTTAGCTCTTATTCAGCCTATGAAAAACTCCTAATAACCAGTTTAATCTTCTTACACCTGAATACACAATTCAAAAACTAGAGTCATCCATTTTGCTCTGAACTACAATACAAATAAAGTATCATTTAACAGCTATACGACAATAACATTGCATTTTATTTCTGTACAAAGCAGTTCTGAAAGTAAATTCCCCACCGTAATCTGATTTTACAGGGTAGGTAAGTTGCTCAAGACTTTAAGGTAACATCCATAAAATCACGCTTAGGATTTTCCTCAGAAAATTGGGGATGCATGCCATGAGAAAGATAGACCTCTCTTACTGAAAGAGGACAATGCCTATTTCAAATGTTTTAAAGTGCACAATAAAAGACATAAGATATATAGAAAATTTAAGTGTAAAGCTACATCAAAGAGAAAACAGTGAACTTACAGAATGTTACACAGAAAAAAGAGCCACCTAAAAATACCTGACAAATGTACAATTCTAAGAGATAGACAGAATTTGAAAAGCTGCCAACATAGAAAACAAACAGAAAAAAAAAAAAAGGAAAAAAAACACAAAACTTAGAAAAAAGCACCAAACTAACCAGAGAAAAGAAGACAAAAGGGCCAAAAGGGCAACAAACTAACCAAACTGAAAACTTCCCTTGGGAGTCCAAATTAACGGAACTTGAAACACAGAAACTACAAAATCATTCCCATACTTTTGTATCATCCAGAAACAGGAAAAACACCCCCCCCCATAAAACCACGCCTTGGAAAAATCCACAGCTTACAGAAACTGCATATATACTGTAGCAGAAATGCTAAATCACAGCTTGAAGCAGTGATTGAGCACCTGGTGGGAAGGCAGGGCCAACCCAGGAAAGCACAGGTGCATGCAGTGCAGCTGAGTGACCAGAAGGGGCGGAGCCAGAACCCACCCCATCCCAGATCTCATTTAAAGGTTGGCAGTGGATGTAAGAGAGTTTTGTTGGTAATTCCTTCATACTTGAGGCCTTCTAAGGGTAAGCACTTTTTTTTTTCTTTTGTTTTGGCTGCTTCATTTGGGTTTTTCTTCACTTTCCTTTGCCTAGGACTTTGCTACTATGCTGTTATAGTTGAGCTTTCTATGCTGTTACACCATTACATAAATACATCAGTAATGGTGTTAAATAATCTTAATAATTCAAACAAACATGCCAGTTAATCTGTTAGAAAATGTACTTTCTTACTCTCGCTATCTGAAAGGTTTTACTGTTACCTATGAAGCAATACTAAAAGGTTAGTACAACAGGGATTTCATTTCAGAAGTTGTCTTTACGTTTATATCTTTTTCAGAGTCATCTGTAGATCACCTTTTCAATCTGATATCTGCTAAAGCTTCCTGAAGTCAGCAAGCATTGTCATTAAGGAGTGTGGTGGGATGTGGCTGCTCCTTGATCTGTGGCATGCTAAACTGTGCGCAGTACCTTTGCTAGACACAGAGCATATCTCTTACTATAGCTATTTCCATCCTGACCACTCAAATTTCTGGAGAAGAGAAAGAAAAGAAGGTAAGAGAGTTTTACACAGAGAAATGCTAGAGTAGTAGTTCAAGATAACATCCCCATGGTGTTATTTTCAGACTTTTTTCAATAGCAGGGCTGAAGTGTTATGTGCTGGAGTAGTTCTGGTTAACTGCTATGTTTAAACTATCATATTAGGTAAGTCACAAACCAGTTATCACTAGCTGATATTGCCCATTTAAAACACTTATCATATAAGAAATTATGCATGAGATACTACTTGAGCCTAATCACTCTCTAGTGCTAGCCTCAGTTTAGTCTAAGAAAATCTATCACAGACAAAGCTTTTTTGGAAGGTGCAAGAATCCTGAAACAAGTTAGGAAACAGGTTTAAAACTGTTGATTGAGGTTTGTTCCACACTCTCCCAAGGTTATGACTACTGGCAACAACCTTCTCCCACACCATTATTCTTAACTTCATGGTCATATGTGGCACTGTTGCCTCACACTGACTACAGACTGTACAACCACTGTGCAAGTGACCAAGCAGATGGCAGTGAAGGATCAGGTCTATGGCATAGCTAAAGGAGGAAACTAGTCAAGTGGGTTTCTAATACAGGGTACAGGGAGTGAGAGGAAAGGAAAACAAAAGAAAAATCCTCTGGGACCTACCTGTTTTAGTTCTTAATACTTTGTTCTTTCACCTGGAATAAACTTTAAATCATAAAATACTTTGCAACAGAAAGATAGTGTACAGAAGAGTTCATTGCTACTCAAGTATTTTAAGGTGAATAAGCAGAGCAGAAGATGAGCCCTCACTGCTTCTTCTCTGTTTATCTCTTCTGGACAATTAAAGTGACCTTAAATCACTTTCTATGTTGACTGCTGATACCTCTGACAATTTAGTGAGCAACCTCACACATAGGCATGTTTGCGAAAGTAAACCTGGCACAAGCAACTACTAGTGATGTTTTCTTTTTTACTCTCAGATGCCTTATATTCATGTATTAACTTTTAAGAGCACTGAGCAAGTTAAAAAAACATTTATATTACAGTTACAATGGCACAGCATTTTTAGAGTTCCTTCTGTGAATCTGAATAGGTTTCACTGACCCATACAAACTTTCACATTTAGATTTAGAATGGTAGTAGTCTCCATATATTCCTATCCACAATGGTCTCTGCTTTCAGTTGTTCTAAAACAAGATAAACTTGTTTTTAATGTTTTATCAATCTGAAGGAAGGAGGGACTCAGGCCTACATTATTTTAGAAGAACAGCTTTTTACCGGTTTGGGTTGAAGGCCACTATATTCTTAGTGTATAATATAGTATAGGTACATGTGTTGTGCAAGTGAATTAAAACAAATAACAAATCCAGGCCATTAAACATAGCTATCCCTCCTTATAGGGATTATGAAGCATTTTGTAAAGGGGGGGAAGAAAAGCATTTTTTTTGGTAGTGTTTACTTGGTGATCTTATGAACTCTTGAAGTGGGTCCGTACCCATCGTACTGAAGTGATGGCCTTCAAGTTTTTGCAAACAATGTTTCCCTGAAAGTCATTCTGATTTCCAGGTGTTTCCTCAGTCACACAAGAAGCAAATGAGCTGAAGCTTGGGAGTATGTTGTTTTCTTCCGGGTCTGATCATTTAGGGTTTTAAAAGCTCCTGCATTCCAAGTGTGTGTTGCTACTTACACGATGAGAGTTAAGTTACCTTTCTAGAAGCAATGTGAAAAACAACATAAACGAATTTTTAAGTGTCACATAACTTCTGAGGCATATAAAAAAAAAAAACCTGAGGAAAGAACGCAAGTACAGGTTTGACTTGAGCTGCTGAAAGTTCAGCCTGTACTTCTCATGCATACGGAGTACTTTGCAGTGCCACGCCCGCACACGGGTTCTTCCCATTTCCTACCGCGGGAATTCCAGCCGGCTCCTGTCAGCGAAACCGGGATGCCTCCCAGCCCTGCCGCGCGCGGTACGTGCCAGAAGCACACGTAACGCAGCGAGATGCGAAGTCCAGTTTAAACGCGAAGACGTAACCGCCCGCAGCCAGCATTACGTGAATTCCTCCGAGTTTCTGGCTCAGGCTGCGCCAGCCCGTGCCGCTCGCTGCCGGCCGGAGCGGCCCCTAGGGCTCGGAGCGAGCAGGGCCCCGGTGCAGCAGGGCGAAGCGCTCCGGCCCGCGCCGCTCCCCGCCCGCCCGCGCTCCGTCACGCAGAGCCCGCAGCGCGGCCCTGAGGAACCCGCGGCCCCCTCGGCAGCGCGCCCCGCTCGGCCAAGCCCTTCCCCGCTCGGAGCCGCGGCAGAGAAGCCCCTCCCGCCCCGCCGCGAGGAGGGCGGGCAGGCCCCGCGGCCGGCAGCTAACGCCCTTTTCTTTCTTTTCGTTTCCTCGCCGCCGGACCCCGCCGAGCAGCCCCTTACCGCCGGGCAGCGCTCCGCCCCGCCGCCTCCGCCCGAGGCGCGGGCTCGGCCCGGCGCCAGAACCGCCCCTGCGGGATGCGCGCCCACGTGACCGCGCGTTCCCGCCCCGCCCCGAGCGAGCAGGCGGCGGCGGCGGCTGTGGCGGCGTCGGCGCATGCGCGGCCGCGCGTCTCCCGTCCGGTGCGGCAGCTGCGGGCGCACCGCCGCAGCGGCGGCGTCTGAGGGAGCGCGGGGCCGAGCCGTGGGGGCAGCGCCCGGGCGGGGGGTTGGCGGCGGGCGGGCACCGCTCCCGGCCCGCATTGTTCCGTCGGCGGGGCGAGGCGGGCCGCGCGGCGCCCGGAAACCGCTGCCCGGCGTTTTGACATCTCGGCGCCGGGAAGGGCCGCGTCCCGGCCTGCGGCGGCTGGGGGCACGGCCGGCCGCTCCCGAGGCGCGCGGCCCCCGCCGGAGGGATTCCACCGGGCAGCGGGGGCCGAGGCCGCCAGGGCCGGCTTTCGGGCTGCGGGGGGCGGCGGCGTGAGCGCGGGGAGACAAAGGGCCGGAGGAGGAGGAGGAGGAGGACGCCGGGCTCCGCCGCATTCCTGTGTGGAGGAAGGCGGGAGGCGGCGGCCCCGGAGCGGACAGCTGGGCCCGCGCTGCTCCGGCACCGCGCCGCCTCAGCTGCTCCCGCCGTGCCGCGGCTGTGCCGCCCGGCCGCGGGACGAGGAGGAGGAACCATGTAAGTTCGGATTGCCGAGGGTCCCGTGGGAAGATGGGGGATGCCGCGGACGCCAAGGAGATGAAGAAGACTTTCATTGTTCCTGCCATCAAGCCCTTCGACCATTATGATTTTTCCCGAGCGAAAATCGCCTGTAATCTCGCCTGGCTGGTGGCCAAAGCCTTCGGGACAGGTAGGCGGTGTCTCTTCTCTCCTCCTTTGATGCGGCTGCCCGGGGCTGCGGGCCCTGCCCGGGCCGGGGGGCTGCGGCGCTGCTCCTCACCCCGCTGCTGTGCTTTGTTACCTGTGGGCTTCGTCGGGTAGCGCTCATCTGTCCTTGAGACTTGTTGTTGCCGCTGTTTTGCGCTTTAGAGGTAATATAGTCTTATTTTAGGAGTTGAGCTCTCTAGATTGTGTTTTGTTTTGTTTTCCTCTCAGGGTCGCGCTTTTCTAGAAGGCAAAACAAGGCCACCAGCAATCCGTGTTTGTCCTTCTGAGGGCTGAGTTAGGGGCAAGCAGTGGAAAGGGATGTGTGCTGTGGTTCTGACGTGTGGCAGCAGCCCGTAGCCGTTGGGGTGGTTAAGCAGTAAGAAGGATTGGGGAGAAAAGCGTTTAATGCCAGTTCTCGGCCTGCAGAGCGCGGCAGGCTCACCCTTCCTGTCTGCGAGCATAAATGGCAGTGATTGTCATCCCTCCGGGAGGCGTCACTGGTGCTGCTTTGACACCCTGGACCGTGGAATACCACAGCTATTATTCGATACTTGAAATGGTGTTGTTCATTGAGGAATATCACACTTACAGAGGTCTTCTGAGGGAGACATCTTGGAAATTTACCAAGCTGTTTTTTGTTGCTTTTCTTTTACAGCTGTAGTATGTGAATGGTTCAATTTTTTGGGATTAAAAATAGAGATTTTCTTTAAAAGCTGGCTTCGATGTTAGCCATCAGTATCTTTACACTTATTCTGTATCGAATAACAGGAAGAGGTTCTTTCTAATGGAGCTTTCAAGCTTTTGCATTTAGGCCAGAGTACTGTTTAATGTATTTCAGCAAGGTTTAAGGTGTACCTTCGTGGTGTTTCTGGGAAATAGTGGCATTCGATGTGGGGATTGCAAAAAGCTGGTAGTTTCAACATGACTGAACCTAGTGCGGTTTTACTACGTTTGTAGTGGCTATTGAACAAAAATGCATATTCATCATGTAAGAAATCAAAGTATTGTTTTCATATTAAAAATTGCCAATAAATATTGCTTGTTTTCTGTTGTAAAAACTGGATAAGGATATTATGTTCTTATATAGGGCTTTGTCAGCTCTGCAGACGTAAGAGTTGAAATAGGAGTCATGAAAGTTCTTAGAAGTCCTCGGTTCCAGATCTTGAGCCATCATTTTCTGTTTAGCTCAGCTTTGCAGGCTCTGCTTGTGGCAGGTCGGGTGCATAGCGCTTTGGCAATTACATAACCCAGTGCTATGAAACCCTGAAAGGCTTTTGCTGCTGGAGTTGGACAAATGCTCAGCCTGCAGCTGAAATGTCTCAGTTTATATTGGGTGAGTTTCTATTGCGTGTGTCAAGCAACTTGCAGGGTGCTTCTCGGTTAAGAGCGTATGGAAAGGGTGATCCAGAACACGTTCCTTAGCTCTTGGTTATTGTGGTGATTCAGGCACACCAGAGAAATGTCACTAGAGGAGGTAGTAGCTCCTTCTGACCTCAAATAATGCATTATGTGAGATAGGAAAAGGTAAACAAACACAATTGTAGCATTTCTGATCTCACTACTCTTGAATTTGATTAGTATCTCAAATGGCTGCGAAGAAGAGCTAGTGACTAAAGCAGGGAAAGCCAGTATACAGGACTTGCATGGTTGGAATACAAATGCTTCCTTTATACTTAGAGCAAAATAGAAGAACTGACCTTCGCCTTTCCTACGAAGGAAGGAAGTTTGTCGGGATTGGGGATTTTCAACTTTTAGTTCTTTAGAGTAGATCACAACCTCAGTGTCTCCTATGAGCTACTGCTATATGCATTCATACAAAGGAATTAACGGATTGTTCGTGTGCTAATGGGTGCCACATCTTATTTCTTTTTTTAATCCTTGAAATACTGAAATTCCTTAAGAAGGTGTGAGAGGTGGAGGATTTTCTTCCCCTTCCTTTCTGAAAGAAATGACTGTTATTGATTTTGATTAATGAAAACAGTAGATTGTTGTGATCTTGAATGCACTGAAGGCTTACATCTTGTTGTATCAAATGGGTACATCTTTTAGGTCCAGGGGATGTACTTTGTGTTCTTAAAAGTGCACTGTAATATAGGCATAATTGTACACACAGCTTGACTGTGTGCAGGGAATGTCCTTGAAGAAAAAACTTGGAATGGGTACCATTCCTTAAGGCTTAGTAGTAACTTTGTGTTTGATGATTGCTAGGCACATCCAGGAACTGGCACCAATGGAGTGTTGTTGTTATTCTCCAAGGAACTGTGAGAAGTGTCTGGCTCACAGCATAGGCAAGTCAAAGTAAGCTGCCTTACTTGTAAACTGTCTTATTAATTTAGGAATATACTAACAGTCATCTTGAAGGCATCTTGTATGAAGAACAGTTGGGATGAAGAGTTTTTTGTTCTTAGTGTTGTTGTTTTTTTTTTTTAAAAACAATGACAGTTGAGTACAGCACTTGTATATATGTATTAAGGAAGCGTGGGGTTTTGTGCCTTGGTATTTTCTTCAAGAAAATGTTAGGACAGGTCAAATGAAATGTTTTCTGACATCCAAAGGTGGGTGGCACGGCTTGCAGTAACTGAGAAGGAATGTCTGACCTTAGAAATAAATTCTGCGCACTCAATTTCAGCATTAACTCCTAGTGCTGGGAATTAACCACTTCAATTCAGAAAAACTGTTTTCCAAATAAATAGTTCAACTGTGTTGATGGCATTATGTGATTTGACTTCCGAGTACGATGTGTTGTTCTGTATGCTCTTTATTTCTAAAATAACAGAAGTGGATGTCGTTTTGGAGTGTGAGGTTTTTGTCTTCTCATTCTACTGTAGTCACAGAAAATTTAGCTGGAAAAGCTCTTATTTGTCCACTGTTCTAAAGAGGCTGAGCTAAATATATATCTTTCCTGACAGATGTTTGTTTATCCTTTTGGTTTTTTAGTAAAGTCTGTAATTACAGAGATTTGGTGGCATGTCTGGTAGTCAATTTGAATCCTTATTTATCTCTAGATATTAAAAGAGCATAAATGTTTCTTGCCACACTGTAAACACATTTCTTCCTTGTCGTATTCCTGGAGGATGTGAGGGCAGTGGGTGCCTTACTTGTGCAACACCTTTCACATAATAAAAACAGTATCTGCTCTGTGTTCTGCTGTTCAGATGAAACATGGGATTCTTTTTTTCAGCCTAATTTTTTTTTTAAGTTGGGCTTTTTTTGGACTTTTAATTTCCTCCCTCCATCTTTTCTTGGTCTTGTTCTGCATGAATTTTGTAATCTTGATGTAATGGTCCCACTTTATGCTTAGCAGTACAGGGTAGATGTGAGAAATGACTTCATCTTTCCAACCCTTAACAATCTCATTTATTCACTAGAATATGATGTTTGTCATTTTTGCATCGGCCTAGAATTGTTGACTCACTCATTCAGTGATTCACTAAAGCTCCATATCTTTTTCTCTGCAGAACTACTGCCTACTCAGTTGTTCCCATCTTGTAATTGTGTGGTTGTAGGTTCCTGCTTTGCAGCTATACTTACATAACTGCATCCTATATTCAGACCTCCTTTTCCACTTGTCAAAATCATCTCAAATTGTAATTTTGTCTTCTAGAATGCTTTCAAACCCTCTGGAGCTTGGAATTGGTTCTCTGGAACTTTGTCCATATGACTGAAGATACTGGTTCTTGAACCTTGAACTGTACATTCTTTCCATTTGATAGAGAACCTCTGGTGGATACTTCTTAAATGTGATTTTTCATCCAGCCTTGCTGCCAGTTTTTCATTACTAACTTGAGACTTATCTCTGGCATTTATAATTGTGAGAATATTGTGGGAACAATTTTAGAGTCAGGCTAAATCTGTTGCTGTTCTACTACTTATACAACATATTATCCTGCCACAGTAATGA